AAGGAATAAAGGTGGATAAGGGAGGAACTTAAATCTAGACTACCCCAATCATTCTGGGGGGGCTCCAATTTCAGACACTCAGACACTGAACAAAAAGGGACAACAACAAGGCCATTGATCTGGACTAGCAGCCATTTCCTTGTAGCTTCTGTAACTGTGCAGAGTGAGGATCTAAAAGGCAAGCCGCACCAACATTATCCAGATCTTTCACAATCTCTTCCATAGACTTCGGCGAGGTCAAAGATTAGTCACTTCCATGCTTGTATCGGTCATACGTCCAGGATTAATGTGCCTTACAGTGCCTTGGAGTTGAATAGAATATTGGATATTGGGGTACATAAAAATGTTATCCGGTTAACGATTCATATTCATATTGATTGAGACTACTTTATCTCGTTCCAGGATGACAAACAGTGGTTACATGTTGTCTTGTCTGACTACCTTGTGATAGGAGTTTCAGACAATCCTCCCGCCAGAAGCACTTTTCACTAATATCACCTTTAGTTGATAGCTGTGAATACATGATGACGCGACAAAGTGCTTATGCATAATTGGCTGCACATTTAGCCTTGGCCAGTACACTTGATAGACAGACAAGCAAGCAGCAATGCTCATAGCTTTGAGAACCACTTTGATATCATGATAATTCCCTCGATCCTGCTCTCATGTATTTTTGATCTCCACTTAACTTGATCGTCCGTACCCGTCATTCACCTTGCCGCAAGGTTCGCCTCATCCGACGCTGGTTTACCATCGTGTGTGTATGATTTTGAAACCGCGCAGTTGACCTACTTTCTCGTGCGTTTTCATGCCCCAGATGCTGAGACTGCCCTGACTTATTCCGTCGTGATTTCTGTGTGATCGCCCGCCATTTAGAATGACGGGGCTGGCATCGGAAGGAAATACCTCAACCCACACTACCGAGGCAACATTCCGCTGGTCGGTCTAGGGACCTTGATACTTTGTATACATAGTACCATACCCAACTTTACTTTTGGCATTCGGGACCGCCAGACTTATAAGTCCTACACCGGGAAACCCTACAAAGGCGCTAACAACAATCATAAGTTAAGTCCTCCTTTTTATTTATGACCATGAAATCGCTCAAGTGACTTGCAAGTCGGGATTCCGCCAGTGTAGTGTCTGTGCACTCGATCTGTTCGAACCGCCGTGATAGGGTAAACTTTCCGTCTATTTGACTTCGTCTGACCACAGACCTAGTCCAATACAGTGACCGGAATAGATTCGATAAACCGAATATTTTCCCATGCATGACTCTAGAGTGAAGCCTCAAGTCGGTATATCGCAATGAAGGCCAGTCGTGTAATGCACTGCTATTATATTTGCATACATTCACCTGGTTTTGAAATCATCTCACGATGGGTGACAGTGGCAGCCGAAACACTGAGACTATGGCATTATATCCTACAACAGACTTGTTATGTTTTCAGTGCTGAGACAGTCTGTATTATTTAGTCGCCGTATCCTCATTGAGTTTCAGTTGGACGCTTTCGTACAGAACCCCCCACAATCTCCCTACGGAGATCCTGTTCACTGAAAATGTCTCCTCGAATGGTGACAAAACGTTTGCAAATCAATTGCTGAGCTCGGTGAACAGATCAACAGCTACCTGATCAATTACCAACTAATGCACCCGATCTACGAATATTCCAACACATTGCCAAGTCGTTTTTTCGAATGGGATTTTGTTAGTGGACGAATGAAGTATTGAACGTAGTTTCTGGCGCGTGACTAGCACAAAGTTTATATTTTCCTAAAAATTACTAACACTGAAGGTCCATTTGCCTTATTTGAGTCCTACCATCTGAGACCACAAGGTCGGTCACCTGGGCTTGTGTCAGATAGTTTGTCAGTCAGCATTTTATGGTGAACGTTATTTTCAAAGGCTCGGCGTTCTGCATAAACACTGAACTCGAGGAGCTTAAAAAGGAATTGCGTCAAATTCTGATACTTCAAATGAACAGTGGTCTTGTTTTCTGAGGCGACAATTGTAAACGATGGTTTCCAACGTACCAAGTGAATCAAGACCGGCATTTTTGGGTTCCATTGGATAGGATGCTGTGCGGAATGAATGAACGCTGGAATTCTAGAAGGCTCCGTACAACTGCCTTTGAGTACGTCCTTTCCTGAGATTGCATTATTAAGTATCATGCGAATTCTCAAATTATTCTGATGAAATAAATTTGAGAAATCAAATTCTCCCAGAAAGTCATGGTTGAATAATGGAGAATGCCGATAAATTTCAGTTTGTAAGTCGGTATTCCTTAGCTCCGATGGCCAGTGCTCTAGGACTGTCTCGTCCATTTACCAGTGGGTTCTTTCGTCTGCCCTAATGTGGGTGATTTGGCTGCAGCCGTTGCACTATCACACATGGTGACTCCATTGAAGCTGAAAGTATCCTTTGAATCCATCAAACGGTTACTCATTCCGAATCAGAGGTATTACGACTATTTCACTGTTATTTCAGAGCATACAATAAAATGGAAACTTTAACTAGGTTTCACCTACACCATTGTCTATGCAATTTGCCTGTTAAGAAGAAAAATTTCTATTCAAGAACACAGAATTACTTACTCAATAAGCTTGACGAATTCCATGTAATTCTTATGCAGCAATTTCACTAATTCCTCTTCAATTTCATCCGGATTCAACATCATTTTTTTATTGACTGTGCCGTCAATTGCGCCGCTAAAATCAACCCAGACAAGGAAGGTAGACATCATCAGATCTAATTGTTGAACAAAGCGATTACGATAGAAGCATAGCGCATGAAATGTCCATTGTAGCCGAAACGCTACTGAAACATTTATGTTACTGCAAACCAGGATAACGATAATGACAACGAAATTCGTTATGAGCCAAACTCAATGCATCGTCTTGCTGAAGGTGATGTCTAATCCCCTATTCCGTACTAGCTTCTTTGAACCCAATCCATAGCATGAAAATACTGAGTTATTCTATGGTCAATGGGCGCATGAGTGAAATTATTTTTCCTCAGTATTCTGCTTTTAGTGTCGTTAAGCTCATTAAACGCACTTTGCGCAGGCCAAACTTTTCAAAAATAAGAATCACTGCTGCAAACCAGAGGCTCTCAAGAATATTAGAATTTTGGCATATGGCTAATGCAAGTGAGAGGTCATTTGGACGAAAACTTTAAAGCAGTAGAACTGAGCTCAGCAATTACCTCGACGGGCTAGCTGATGAGTTGAAGAAAACGGATCATAGCTTTAGCGAGTAGAATGCTTGGTAATCTTTAGGCCGGCATACCCCACTTTTGCTACTCTCGTCTAGTAGATCACTTTTAAAAACCCCATTTTCTTGCGGAAACCCAACATCCGGTCTATAAATCGCAAAGGTCTCGTTTTTACATTGAAATCATTATCATCATCATCGTTATTGTGGACCGTAATAACCGCATACTTCTCGTACGGTGGTTCAAGCTGTCACAGTTTTGTTCACCGATGATTGGGGGAGGTAGGGGAGGTAGCTGCGCATTGGAGGCGGGAGCTGATTAATTAGTGCGTAAATACAGCACTGTAGGTGGACTGTTAAGTGGGGGGATTGGGAAGGGAGCTATGCATTGAATGCACCAGCGCCATCGAGGGCGCGACTGGATCATGTATGACAATCTCTTTAACCATTGATATGGACCATCCAGGAAGACAGTAATAACCAGCGCAGCTAAGTTTGCTGGTAATGGCTTTCACACTACACTGCCAAGTCACTGTTTGACCGCCTCATCAAGTATGTTACAAGCAATGTTCGGAAACCGCTCCTGAAAACCGATCATGTAATATAATGGTGATTTTCATAAAGTACAGAGTCCCTGAACGTAACAGAGTTTGACATCCAGCTGAGCGGATTAAAACAGGGATTCATGCCATGTTCTGGATTTCGTGCTAATGAATTCCAAATACAACCGCTATACATGATAAATAATCGTTATTATCGTTATTGTTATCGTTATCGTTATCCCTATCAAAATAGAGAGCCCGCTTTGTTTGAACGTCGGTCATTTCGTACTTATTTTTAGGTTCCAGTTTTCGTGATTATTTACCTTTCACTGATTAAATCTTAAAAGATTTGCAGCAGTAGTGCTCTAGACCACAGTAGTGAGTCGGGTATTTCCCATAAAAAATTCTACCTTAAGGTTGACCTCCGTTCTGCATAACTAGTCTCCGAAATCCTTCCAAAAGAGCTTCACTAAGGACCTGCGAAAGCCATAAAGACTAGAAATGGTGTACAATCTACAGTAGTATGATAGATTCCAGATGTCTTTTGCTTCTATTCCTTCCCACTCCGGACCGAAGTTAGAAATGAGTTCGGTGGGAAAATGTCTACTGGCTACATTGAGTAGCAGATAAATTAGTATTGACATAGTAACATGGACTGTGGCCAACAGTGGGTGGGGCAGTTATAACTATGGCTCTGGTTTCAAAGCTCGTCAGTATAGATGCAGTCTATGTAAGAACATACGGTTGGTAAGAACAAACAGTAGTACTTCAGAGGGCTATAGCGGACAATCAAAACAGCCACTGTGGCTCTCTTTGTGGCAGATAAGGCAATGGGTCATTGGATTCAGAGTTACGAAATCAAGAAAACGGTATACATAAGCAGAAGAGCTCGAAAAAGATTGGGTAGGGCCGTCAGAATATCGGGTGGGTATGACATTTGGACAGTTACCAATGCATGTAAGCGTAAAAAACATAGGGAAGGGTTACAAACAGAGGATAATAAGCAGGATAATACAGTGCCCAAGAGCACCGCAGTTTCCAGTGTGTGCCGCATGGCGTAACATCACACCTATTGCCTAAGCAAAGTGCGCTGAAATTGCATTCAAAGAAATGCGGGTCAATAGGGAATCGGAAGCAGGGCCGAACGACCTAAGACACGTGCTTGTCAGAAAGACCGAAGGCAGGGGCTGAATCGAATGATCTTGGTCAAAGGCTCATGGACACGAGGATAAGGGCCTGAAATCCATCCAGACCATGCAAGCTCCATTCCAGGCATAACCACAGACAGCACCCAGCCTTAACGGCTGGGGGGTGGATACAGATATACATAAGACCGTAAGGACTAAGTGGAAGACGTAAGGTAGCAGTTTACTGTCCATCCTATAAATCCGTGATCGAGATTGTATTGGATACAGATATACATAAGACCGTAAGGACTAAGTGGAAGACGTAAGGTAGCAGTTTACTGTCAATCCTATAAATCCGTATCGAGATTANGGATACAGATATACATAAGACCGTAAGGACTAAGTGGAAGACGTAAGGTAGCAGTTTACTGTCCATCCTATAAATCCGTGATCGAGATTAGTATTGGATAAAACAAAAAAAACAGGAATAAATACGAACCGAAAAAGTTGCAATTCAGTTACTTTAGAGAGTCACCACGTCATACGTCAGAGAGCCCCTTTAAATGTTGTGGTACAAGTCGGAACCGAAAACCTTTTAGTTCTTATGTGAGATATCCTTGTAAGATGGGTTTAGAATTATGCTTTACGATCCAACTGAACTATTTCGATGGACTGGCTTGCGGTACAGCAAGACCCGAACAATCGGGGTCCCCAAGTTCATCTTAAATATTTGTAAATGACGTCAGTTGGATGCATACATTAATAGGGAAAGCATTTACCTATTCTGGCAAATACTCGCTTAAATGAGAACGTCAGAAACCCGCGTAACCTGCGGAATTCAGCCCAGTAAATACGGCACACTGACCAACTACCGATGAGTAAACTCGTATGCTAAAGATTAAAACTTGTTATTCAGACTACCTATTTAGTTAGGTTCGCGAAAGGGTTAGGAAACGTTTGAGGGCTTGAGTGGGTGGCCACTGGGAATTAAATGTCATTCATCTGACGCCAAGAAATTTTAGACAAGGCTTCTAGTGCATACGGCAAGCAATAAACTTTCTGGACAACGGCAAGATGTTACATCTCCTAGTATCAAATTTCTTCAACGAACACATTCGAAAGTAATCTCGAACAGGGAGTTTTACAAAGATTTAACATAAGTTTGTAAAACAAAAGCGTATTTCGTCAAAAGTACGCCAATCTCAAGTAAGCTTCACGAGTCATCAGGGAGAAAGTCGGAAAGTATAAGATAAGCTGGTGTAGTAGTGGCACAACTTATAACCTGAAGAGAACCAGTGTTACTTATACCACCGAATAAAGAGTAAAATTATGGGCTAAGGATATGTGTTCGCGTTCGTTCGAAAGGAACTCTCCGGAAGAACGAAAGATTCATACATATAGACCTTGGAACAGTAGGATACCTGATTACCAGGTTACCTACCAGATGCACTCTTTGATGTGCTAATTGCCATTAGAAACTGTAGTCATGAAATGGTAGTCATGCTCCTCTTCAGCATTTGAACAAATAATAAATTCTGTTTTGGCTATTTAGAATGGAAAACATACTGAAATTCGCCAATCCTTAATTTGTCCGGAAGAGAGTTCGTAGTACGATCTTTTTTGAAACTTCAGGTTCACCTATTACTATGGGAACCCACTACCTATCGGTCAAGCAGCTCTTAGAGGCTCGATGTATAATAGTGTAAAAGGTTGTCGCGCTCTGCACTAGAATTGTTAGAAGGTCGGGCATTGATATTGGTCTCATTTTCGGAGTGAGTCGTTCACAATTCATTCTGGAGTCTAGGCGACGGATTATTAACAGTTCCCACTTAGCGAATAGTATTATTTAGTCGTGTGCACACATAAGTAATTTAGAGGCATTTTCCGTCGGCTTATTTGTCCTCACATCCCAACAAACTCCATACCTAATTACCAGTCATATTCTTACCGTATTTTCAGTGCTTGCATTCTCTGGTGCGCTGGACTACCCTTGGCACGGTTCTGATAACAAGCCAAGAGACGTTTGTACGGGACAAACCCAGGCCGAATACGCGTATATGATTTCTCCTCGCCAATCGTTTCCGGTGGCCGATCACGACCCAAAGACCACCCGGTTGCCTCAGACGGGCTAAGAATTCGGCGAACAAATGTGTGCAAATCCTCTGCGTTAATGTTCAGTCCATATTCACGTAGTATCCCCAGGCATTCGTTCTCGCTCACCCGGTTGTTATGTTTCGGGTCAAAACGTTTGAAAGATACCATCATGGCCTGATAAGGGTTCTCAAACTGTTCGGAAGAGATAGTGTACCCAGTAAATATTGGTCGTATAGGATAAAATGAACAAGGATAGCGAGCTTTGTTCAGAACCTAGTAAATTCCATTTTGTAAGCAAGGTGCTATAACTATTATGAAGTGGACAACGCAACGCGGAAAGTGTGGGATTACTAAGGGCGGAACTCAAGGACGAAGAAAAGGACTACCCATTCAACGGCGCACTGAAGATGTCTCCTCGAATGGTGACGAAAGGTCTGCAATCAGCTGCCAAGCTCGGTGAACAGATCGACAGCCAACTGGGCAATTACCAAATAATGCACCAAATCATCATTATCATTGTCAGCTGTAAGAACCGCGTACTGGTCGTACACTGGTTGTAGCTGCCACAGTTTCGTTCACCGATGATTGGTGGGGGGGGGTAGGTAGCTGCGCATTGCACGCGCGAGCTGGTAAATTGGTGCATAAATC